AATACTATAATTTGTTCAGATTTATTATTAACTCATTTTTTATTTTTTTTTGAATTTCCTCCCTTTCTATTGCAAAGACCTCATATAATGAGGCAATAGAATGCTGGATTTGCAAGGGACCTTTTTTAAAACTAGCATCAGGAATAGTACAAAAACTCGAAGAAGCAAAGCATAATTTATTAGAAATTAAAGAATGGAATCATGTATGGAAAAAGAACATCCAAAAAAGAAAGAGACACAGAAAAGATATCGAAAAGTTTTAAGTGCTCTTAACCATAAGTAAAAGATCATGATTATATAAGTAGTAACTACTGAGATTCAGCTTATAATGCCTGTAATAAAAAGTTACAAATAGGCTCTTTTAAAACTAAAGTACTTCTTATATGTCATAATTTCTGAGATTATAACTCTCATATGCTCATAAAAGTTGTGAGCAAGTTTACGGCTAATAAGCTAAAATGTATTTCAAAAAATATTGGAAAATACAAAGCCATGGATGTTGGCCAGCTTTGATTCTTAAATAGTTTTCAGCATATAGGGATCAAATTTGATAAATTAGTTGAATATCTAGATAATAAGCTTGAAAAATTTTCTTAACTGTTAAGTACTTTACAGAGAAAGGTTACTTAATAGATAAGATAAAGCTTCTTTTTTGAAAGGATATCTTTCCTTATGATTGGATCAACTTATAGGACAAGTTCAATAGAACAGAGCTTCTACTAAAAAAAGAATTTTATTCACTATTTAGTCAGCAAAATATTAGTAAAAAGGATTACAAATATGTATAAGAAGTATGGCAAACACTTCGAGATGAAAAACTTTAGAGAATATTATGACCTATATCTTAAAACAGATATACTTCTGATTGTCAATATATTCATAAATTATATTATTATATGCTTGCAGGATGATGGCTTAGATCCCTCTCATTATGTTTCAGCATCTGGAATGTTTAATGATTTATTATATAAGAGCAGTGAAGTTGAACTTAAGCTCATGATAAATAAGGATAAGAACTTAATAGTTAAGAAGAGTATTCGTGAAGGCATGACAATAGCAAGTCACTATTATGCTAAAGTTAATAATCCTAAATGTCCTAATTACAATCCAGGCAAACCAACATCTTAGATCTTATATAACAATATGAATGCTTTATATTCTGAAGTAATAACGCAATATATTCTACAGAAATATTAGAAAAAGTAGATTCTGAAGAAATTCAATATATTCAAAGTATAGCATCAAATGCAAAAATAGGTTATACATTTGAAGTTGATCTAGAAGTTCCAGTATATTTACATAACTACTTTGCAGATTATCCATTAGCATCAGAAAAGCAGATAGTTTCAGAAGACTGGCTTAGCTTGTATAATGAAAGATTAGTATAAGATAAAATATTGGAAGAGGTAAATATATATCTGAAAAAAAGCTAGTTTAGACTCTTTTACTAAGAATAATTATGTAGTTCACTATCAAGCTCTTTAAAGTTCAGAATGAAAGTTACAAAGATTCATAGAGAATTAAAATTCTAGCAGTCTCTATAGATAAAAGAATATATTAAGAAAAATATTTGTAAATGTAAAATAGCTAAGGTTACTGAAGAAGAGTTTGAAGTTATATACTATAATATAAAAAATAATGCAGTTTTTGGCAAATAGATGGAGAATGTCTGTAAATATATGAGAGTAGAATTACTCTGAACAGAAGAGGATAAAAAAATCAGGCATCTAGTAAGTTCACTATTGTTTGTAAGCTTTAAAGCATTTGAAGAAGGAATTACAGCAGTTTATATGTTAAAGAGTATAGTAACTTTAAATAAACTAATCTATATAGGGTAGGTAATTTTTGACATTAGCAAAGCCATGATGTTTAACTTTTGGTACAGTTATATAAAGCTTCACTATAAAGAAAAGGCCTGTCTATTTTATACAGATATAGACTCACTTATCATGTGAATAAAAACTAAGAATATCTATAAAGATCAAATAGAAAGACCAGACATTTTTGATTTTAACAATTCAGGAGATTTATTTTTAATAAAGGATGAGACAAAAGGGGATCTAATAGGCGAATCAGTATGCTTAAAGTTAAAAATGTATTCAGTTCTTCTAGTAGATCATGATCTTAAAACTCCTGATGATTTCGATTTTGAAGACCTTAAAAAGAAGCATGACATCCAGAAAGCAAATGGTATTAAGAAATACGTGGTTAAAAGGGAACTTTAACATAATAAGTTTCTAGAATATCTTAAAAACAAGAGACTAACCTAGCATGATATGTATGACCTCTGAAGTTATGATCATCAAATATATCTGGAGAGGATAAATAAAATAGGGCCGAATCTATATGATAATAAGTACTGGATTTTACTTGATGAAATTTGAACTCTTTCATATGGATATTAGCAAATTGAATTATATAAACGCCTGATAGCATCTGAAATAATTTCTAAGAAAACAGAAGAAAAGGCTATGAAAGTTAGACTTTAAGTCAAGGAATAAATGCTTTATAACAAATATTTTTTTCAGGTAAAAATTATCAAAAAATATAATTTTATTAATTAAAGTTTTTCTATCATTATAGTAGAAACAATACAAAAATAGTTGATTATAAGGATATAGAATTTGCAAAGTTAAAGTCATAAAAACTGCATTGCAAAATGACAAAAAATATGATAATCTTGCAAAAAATTATAGAGACTATCTAAAGAAATTGTAAGTTAAAAAGAATCAGAATGATTATATTAAAACAGTCACAGTCAAGATGTTTTTCAATGAAGAGACATATACTTAAAGCTCTGAACGGTTCGGATTAATCTAAAAATTTTCAGTTCAGATCAACTTCGATTCAGTTTCAGATTGCAAAAATTTCAATCTGAAAATTTTCGGTTCAGTTCGGATTTTTTTTGGATTATAAATCTAATTCGAACTGAAAAAAATCTGAACCGAACTGAAAATTTCAGATTAATCTGAAATTTCAGATCATTTGGAATGATAAAAGAATCATTCATTTGGAACGATTGAAGTTATCGTTTCAAACGAACAATAAAAAAATCATTCATTTGGAATGATTAAATTATCATTCCAAATGAATGATAAGAAAATCGTTCGATTGGAACGATAAAAGAATCATTCATTTGGAACGATTGAAGTTATTGTTCCAAACGAACGATAAAAAAATCATTCAATTGAAACGATTAAATTATCATTCCAAATGAACGATAAGAAAATCGTTCGATTAGAACGATCAAATTATCATTCCAAATAAATAATAAAAGAATCGTTCGTTTGAAATGATTGAAGTTATCGTTCTAAATGAACGATAAAAAAATCGTTCATTTAGAACAATTAAATTATCATTCCAAATGGACGATAAGAAAATCGTTCGATTAGAACGATCAAATTATCGTTCGATTGGAATGATCAAATTATCATTCGATTGGAATGATCAAATTATCGTTCTAAAAGAACAATAAAAGAATCGTTCATTTGGAATGATTGAAGTTATTGTTCCAAACGAACGATAAAAAATCGTTTGATTAGAACGATTAAATTATCATTCCAAACGAACGATAAGAAAATCGTTCGATTGGAACGATCAAATTATCGTTCCAAACAAACGATAAAAGAATCGTTCGTTTAGAACGATTGAAGTTATCGTTTCAAACGAACGATAAGAAAATCATTCGATTAGAATGATCAAATTATCATTCTAAAAGAATGATAAAAGAATCATTCGTTTAGAACGATTGAAGTTATCATTCCAAACGAACGATAAAAAAATCGTTTGATTGGAACGATTAAATTATCATTCTAAACGAACGATAAGAAAATCGTTCGATTGGAATGATCAAATTATCGTTTCAAAAGAATGATAAAAGAATCATTCATTTGAAACGATTGAAGTTATCGTTCCAAACGAATGATAAAAAAATCGTTCATTTAGAACGATTAAATTATCGTTCTAAATGAATGATAAGAAAATCATTTGTTTGAAACGATCAAATTATCGTTCCAAAAGAACGATAAAAGAATCATTCGTTTGGAACGATTGAAGTTATCATTTCAAAAGAACGATAAAAAAATCGTTCATTTAGAATGATTAAATTATTGTTCTAAACGAATGATAAAAGAATCGTTCGTTTGAAATGATTGAAGTGATCGTTTCAAACGAACGATAAGAAAATTGTTCAATTAGAACGATCAAATTATCGTTCCAAACGAACGATAAAAGAATCGTTCGTTTGGAACGATTGAAGTTATCGTTTCAAATGAACAATAAGAAAATCGTTCGATTGGAATGATCAAATTATCATTCTAAAAGAACGATAAAAGAATCGTTCGTTTAGAACGATTGAAGTTATCATTCCAAACGAACGATAAAAAAATTGTTCGTTTAGAATGATTGAAGTTATCGTTCCAAACGAATGATAAAAAAATCATTCATTTGAAATGATTAAATTATCGTTCCAAATGAACGATAAGAAAATCATTTGTTTGGAACGATCAAATTATCGTTCTAAAAGAACGATAAAAGAATCGTTTGTTTGGAACGATTGAAGTTATCATTCCAAAAGAACGATAAAAAAATCGTTCATTTAGAACGATTAAATTATCGTTCCAAATGAACGATAAAAGAATCATTCGTTTAAAACGATTGAAATTATCATTCCAAACGAACGATAAGAAAATCGTTCGATTGGAACGATCAAATTATCGTTCTAATTGAACGATAAAAGAATCGTTCCAAATGAACGATAAGAAAATTGTTCATTTGGAACGATTGAAGTTATCGTTCCAAACGAACGATAAAAGGATCATTCTAAATGATCCAAAATTTCGGATTAATCTGAAATTTTCGGTTTGGTTCGAATTTTACCGGTTTACGGTTCAGTTCGGTTTCAGATTAGCATTTTTAGGATTTATAATCCGAACTGAACTGAATCAAAATTTTTGGATCAGTTTCGGATTGGCCTATAATCTGGACTGAACTAAACCGTTCAGAGCATTACATATACTCTAAGATTAGAAAATTATCATAAAATATATATAGATAATAATCTATATGCTAGCCTAGAAGAATTATATGAGCTTTATTATGATATAATCAAGAAAGTAAATCATGAAAGATCAGATGATGAAATAGAACAGATGTTCAAAGCAATGGCAATTTAGTCACCTAGTGAATAATGCATATATGTAAGCAAGAAGATAAGTTACAGTGCTAACATAATATTTTAGATTTTGTTCAGGCATGATAAATATTCAGTTTATTTTTTTCAGATTATAAAAATGTCTTCTAAAAAGTATTGTACATATTATTCAAAAAAGATAGATATTATTCAAGAGATCAAAGAGAATTTTATAATGTTAGAATATAATATAACTAAAATACATCAAAATCTTAAAAGTATCAGCTGAGAAATCTATTATCTATATAATGCTATGACTGAATCATTTGAGTCTAATTCATCTAAATCTGAAGTGAAGATAGTTGCATCTGAGTTCAGTTCATCTGAAGAAATGAAAGTCAAATGCTATAAATTAAAAAAAAGACTAATATGATTTTAGACTGCTGAAATTTGTCAATATGCAATCCAGTCAAATATGATCACACATATGATAAGATAACTGGCTTTATTACTATTAAGAATATAAGGTAAGATAGGGTAGTAGGTGTATTTGATTATCCTGAACTATATGAATATTTCTTTCTTGATCAAAAAGCTGTGAGAGAAAACTAGGTTTTATTTTTCAAATTTATGAGAAAAAAGCTAATTAGACTACTTCTGTGATATTAAAAATATAAGGTAAGAATAGAAAGCAAACAGAGTAAACAGAGTAATAAAAATTAATCAAATAGTATTATACTTAGTGATACAGTGACACTTTGCAAAATATTCGAGAAAAAATTAGAAGAACTAGAAAATCTCGTAAAATTAATTAAAAGTGATATAAACAAATCATTGCTATTTGATATTCTGAATTCTGATTTTCAGACAAATTGAAGAAGTGATCACTAGTCTGAAACAATAAATCAATGATAAGTATAATAATATAATAGCTGATCTCTATATGATAGGAGAATTTTTTCACATATATCCTAACTAAGTATTTTTTTTACTCTTGTTTTTACTAGGATATTGCTTCTTTTGGGTTCAATGTTAAGTGATTTTCTACATATATACTGTTATGAGCATCATATTATACTGCTCCTTCAAGGCTTAGTGTCACATGAAATTTTTATAAATTAGATCATTTATTAGAATTTATGTAAAATATGTTCAGCTAATGCTTTCTATTACATATATAATAGAATTTATGCAAATATATTTGAGTTAATGCTTTCTATTACATCAAAAAATAAATTAGAGATAAGATCATTTTTTCTTGAATCTATATATATATAGGACCTTTGCAATAGAAAAGGGGGAAACGGCTAGAAAAAATAAAAATTGAGTTAATGCTAAATCTAAACATATTTTGACTTAAAAATCATATTTGGCATATAAAAGTAAAATTGATTTTTTCTGACAGTTTCTCCCCTTTCTATTGCAAAAGTCCTATATATATAAATAAGTATGCAACACTGACCAATAATATTATTCAATCAGTCAACATTGATACCCCTTCCTCATTTAGATCTAAATCATCAAATTGATTTTCAAGTCAATTTGGTCGAAAAGAGTTTGTTTTAATCTTTTCTTAAATGATCTTTATTTGTTTATCAGTAAATCTTTCAAAAAATAATAGTTGAAATCTTCTAATTCACTTGATATCATCCTTCTCTAAACCTTCTATACTGAAAATTTTGTAGATATTCATTGCTAAGCGTTTTTTCTTGTTAAAGATATTACAAGTAGTATTAGAAGGAAATTGCTTTTTAATTTCTGCATTAAGCAATATTCTCATAGTTTGAAAGGATGAATAGAACTAAATTCAGCTAATTTTTTCTCTAATGCTTTTCCGAGAGAATAGTAAGAATCAAGGACTTCATATTTCACTAGAGATAGTTTACATGTTTTTTTCTCAAGAATCTTCTCAGCATCAAGCAATTTGTTATATAATTTGATAAACACCATTTTTGGAGTTGTAGGGTTTACCATTTTCACACTTGTGTTTACTATTATTAAATCAAAGTTTTGCAGTCTATTAGTTAGTTCTTTAAAAAGTTTTTCAATTCTATATTCTTCTGGAAAAAGCATCTATGTATTATCATTACCAAAATAAATAGGCTGATAACAATAAGAATAGACAGGTTTATTTTTTAAAGAGGTAAAGATACATTTAATATGGAATGTATGGAAACAAAACAATCTTATGATAGCTTTCAAGTTAATTCCATTAGTTTCAAATAATAGATTAGTTTTATCATACAAAGAACAGGTTTCAGGTTCCTCTTGAGAATTTGTTGATATGTTAGATCTTTTTGATTTTATTAGCGTTAATATTTTTTTTGAGATGCAATTTACGGAGAGAAGGTAAAATGAAGAATTTTTATATTTTTTAATCATGTTTTTCTCGTGATTGTGAAATTAAATAATTAGAACTTACTAGAAGTATTACTCAATAATCTTTTATTATTAGATCAAGACATTCATTATTTGGCAGATAAGTGAATTAGAAATAATAAGCTAGCAAGATTCAGCCCTTCTTTTGTTGATGAGGTATACACAGTAGAACAATTCTTTGCAGTAACTACATATATACTGTTATATGTATTATATGATACTGCTTCTTCAAGGCTCAGTATTAAGTGATCCTGCATATACTGTACTGAATCAAAAAATTATGCAAGAGGTAGAAAAAGCCCTTGCTGTTATGAAAATATCAGAATAAAATTAACTGATCATCTTATGATCTAGAAATCACTTAGCATCATGATAATGCCAGGATAGTGTCATAAAACTGACATAAAACTGGAATAGCATAAATTTTTTGGTATTTTCTTGGTATTTTTTTCTAGAATCTAGGTCTTGGCAATTTTTTTTAACCAATTTTAGGCAGAAAGTTTTACCAGAAACAAATGGAATACCCAAACTTCTGAAATAATATAGAATTCTTAGAATTCTTAGAATATTTTTTTTCAGGAATTTTCTGGCTGATAAATTAACCTTCCAAAACTATAACATTTAATTTTGCTAAAGGTGTTAAAGCATAATCAAATATATATTCAACCAACTATATTTTAATGAATACTATAAGAGTTTGCTTGACCAATTACCCCTATCCATGAAAAAAGATGCATGGTTGCATCTTATAACTTGCAAAAATAAACCATTATCTGAGGAATAGGTTAAGGACAGTAATGTCTATTTAGATGTTCCAAAGATTTGTTGTTCCAGCTATATGTTCTAATCTGTCTTACACTATGTCTCTAATGTCCTATCTGTTCCATCAATATCCCATAACAACACTGGTTAAGGATATCTATCTGGACATTGAGGAGTTACTTACTAAGGAGATTGATAGATACTATAACAAAAAAAATCACCAGAAGATTAAGATTAAAGCTAATACCTCCTCTAATAATTCTAGTATATTATTTCAATTAAATAGATTTGAAAAACAGTTAGAGGAACGTAAACTTTATGTATAGTAATAGAAGAATAATATTAAGAAAACTATTAAGACTCAGGTTGCTGAGAAATGCAAACATCTAAAAGATAAATATGATGCTCTTAAATCTTATTTAGAGAGTAAATATAATAATTGCATGGTAGATATAAAACAAAAGACATATTCATTTAAATATCAATTAAAATCCTAGCATAATTCACGCTCAGCTGAATTAGAGAAGCAATATAAATCTCATATCTTTGCTTTAGATAAAGCTAATGCAATAAAAGATAAGGAGATTAGCAATTTATTCTCTACTATTTTCTAGCTTAAGAATGAAAAATAGAATATAAAGAAAACCGCTAAGTCTGTATATAAAGATTTGGAAGATGTTATCTTTACTAAGAACTTAAAGATTATTACTCTAATGATAGATTATTTCTTATAACCTTATGTTAAAAGAAATGTGACAATAGAACTAAGTTCAATTTTTTCTACCACAACACTGAATTATGGATTAGAAAGCGAAAAAAAGCAAAGAATAATACAAGTATCTGAAAAAAATATATTTTCTGAATGCATGTCTAAGCAAAACTTAATCGAATAGGTACCATATTATTTTCTAAATATGGATTTGTCAAACTTTTCATGGGTTTAACATAGGATTTCTCAATTGCATATAAATTTTTCGTAAAAAATGTTACCAAAGATTGGCTAGATATAGGAATACTTTTTCACAATATTGCCTAATAAAAAATTTGATATAAAAATTCCATAAAAATATTAAGTTTTATAACGTATAACTTTTATGGAAAA